AAACAATCAATCAATTGATGCAGTTTGTTTTTAAGAAGTAAAGGGAAGGAAGAAAGATGTAAAAGAACAAGAAAACAAATATTTTTTGAAAAGGAGAATGCTCTAAAAAATAAAACGAAAAGTAACTTACTTGTTTTTTCAACTCCAAAAAGCTCTACGCGCATGCACGCTGCGCCGATGAAGGTCTTTGGTAGGATCCGCACATAACGAGCAAGTAGCCCCTGATCAAAATAGTTCTTGGCAATGCTGTTGCTGTCGAAGTTACCCTTGAATGTCTGCGGCAGATAGTTCAAAATTTCAAAAAAGCACCCTAAATTATGCTAGTTACTAAATCATTAAACCCGTAAAAGTACATTTTTGCATTTAAAGTGTACTAAGGTGTATTAGTGTAATATCTATTTCACATATTTTTGGTTTCTCACTATTGTCTAATCAACATATTTGGTAGTAATTAGTATTCTTTGTTTCACGTATTTGGTGCGTCCGCCGTTCCAACTATTATCCTCATCAATGTATTACTTCATGGTTAACAGAAACAGGCCTCAAAACCTACCTGAATGACATTTTTCACTTTGTTCTTCAGGTCAATAAATGGTTTGTTCCTGTAGTCGATCCATTTTTTACCGTCGATTGATGTTTGGATTGTGAATGATGTCACCATRTGATCTCTTTTGCTGTTTCCCTGGGTACTAATGGCGCAAATCACATGGGGCATGCGCAGATCAATCTGCAGATAMGTATTGTTATCATGCATTGCGCCACACCATGAGTCTGCTCCATTGTAACCAAGCCTGCAGTTTTGAGCGGGCGTTGCGTCGTTCAGAATAGACGAGGCAGATATCTGAGATTGTTTAATATGACCATTTTCAAGACCGACTGGTTGATTGTCGCAAGTGTCTGTGGAAAATCAATCAAATTTACTCAAACAGTAAATAGAGAGCTGATATAAGTAAAATGGGAGAAAGTTTCAACACTAAATGCTTCAAAAGTGTCAGCAAATGTCAAATAATCCTTCAGAAACATACACCTACATAAAAAAGGTTGTCGGAGAGAACGACGATCGTGTCAGAGGGAGATTGCATGACCGAAAGGGACCCTGGTTAGGCTGTTTATTTGACAAACAGAATTCCCCTTATGGGACTCAGCTTGCGAAGAMATGTAGTCTAAATAAAACCAAGAATGTTCAGCATGTTCTCGCAGAATACAGCAATTGTTATTTCTCCTCGTCGTGCAATCGCCGTTCGACAATTTACATTCGTCATTTTATCCGACAACCTTTTATGAAAAAGGTACATACGAAAATAAAACTCGAAATTTTAAAAAGATTGGTATTGAAACAGATCAATTATAGATCTTACTTTCACAACCGTAAAGTTCAATTCGCATTGAAATGCCTCCCCTCCACTTAAGAGGGTTGATTTGTATGTGTCTTGCTTGGATGGTGTATGGAAACCATATTTTAGCAGTATCGCTCTTGCTCTTGGGACCTTTAAACCTCTGAAACGTTAAAACAAATATACCTTTCTTATAAAAGTAGCAATAAAATATTATCGTGATTTTTCTGTCATTGTTTAAAATGCCGATGTTATTGTCCGCTTTTATAATATCGTGCTCGTTTTTGTGACTGTTTCTGTTTAAATCTTTCTCAATTCTGTTGTTTCTTTGTTCAGTTGTTATTACTCACCTCCCAACCAATCCATCTATCGCCGATGCTGTAATTGATCTTAAACACCGTCACCCAACGATCTGAATTGGGATCACCTTGTATAGCAATACCAGTGACTTTCTTTATCTGACCCAGGTCAACCTGTAAGTATTCYGAAGTAGACGGTCTGTCTTTGCTACGCCAAGCATATTTGAACCCCAGACGAGCTGAGATCTTCCCATAGTCTCTGTATTTAGATTCAGATGTAACTTTAAGGTGATMATTGTCGATACCAAGGCTTTGCATTCCAAGAGGTTTTTTACACGAATCTTTATAAAACAATGTAAGTAAAATGAGGTCGAATAAAATCGAAAAAAGTCAACTGYCCAATTATTCAACCATTAATCCAATTAACTCACTCAACAACTTATCAAATAATCAAACAGCCATTCAAACCACCAACCAAATATTAAACCAAACATCCAAACATAACCTTCCCACCTACCTATTATCCAAGCAACTAACCACCCTAACAATGCAACCAACCACCCATCAAGCCAGCCAGCGAACCAGCTAGCAAGTCAACGAATCAACCAGGCATCCAACCAAAGCAACCAACCAACGATCCAACCAAACCAGCCAACCAATC